TCCTTCGTCGCGGCGCTGTGAAGTATGCAGCCGACAAATTCGACCTTCGGAGGACCCGTCCTGCCGTTTTGGACACAGCCAATATATCAACTTGTTTCACCCCAAAAGGAGTGGGGAACCAGCCAGTCATCAGATCGTTTACTTGTACACATGCCACAGGGGCTTTATACAGACTTAATTGCTTTATAAAATCTACCAGAGATGCCGTATGTTAGTAAAATCTTGATTAACCCAGTCAAATGCCTTCTAAAAATCAATAAAACAAGCAAACGTATCTTTCCCTTCAAAAAGTCTGGCCCTTACTACTGATGAGAAAACATAAATATGGTCAATACAAGCCCTTTCTTTTCTAAAACCATTTTGCTCATCTGACAGTATATTATGTAATTCTATATACTGATTTAATCTGTCATTAAAGATACCTGAATATATTTTATAAACAGTAATGCCTCTATAGTTTAATGGCTCTCTGGCATCAGCCTTTAAAGATTTTYGTATTGGTTTTATTATTGACTGATACCACTGTCATGGAATGAATAATGGAGTTTGAGAAACAGGTCTGAAGGAGACAAGGCAGAAATTGAAATAGCAATGGTGCCTTAAGTGCTTCATTAGGGATCCCCTCAACACCCACAGCTTTATTTGATTTAGCTGCATTTGTTAGTTTTTGGACCTCCTCTAGTGTAATGTCATAATTCAACATATAGAAATATACTACCTAAAGCTAAAAATGGTTTAAATTTCTATATAAATATAGAGATGACATTTTTCCCTTCTCTCCTGCCCTTCCTTATCTTCCCTGCTTTGCTGCTTGGAGCTTCTCTACGTTTTCATCCAAAACCAGAAGTTATGGATATTTTTATTTTTATGGATTTGGTTAGCTGGTCTCTTAATAAATTTGTTGGAACAAAGTTTTTTCTTCTTCCATGGGAGGACATGTCAAAGGTGGGACCTCTGTTCTGGATATATATCTGGTTTCTGATCACTGGATTCTACAGATTGGCTCGGTGGTCTCCTGGTGTTTCTACAAAACAGCGTCGTTAGCTGTTCATCTCCTGGCTGCCTGACCGCTGTGAAGGATTGCTGTTCTATCAGCACTCAGACTTTTGCCTTGAGCGAGCTGGACTCGATCTGTAAGCAGTTCTGCTGAGAGTCTATTTTTTTAGGTTCAGTGTTTTTCCCCTGATTTGTGGCTGTAAGGCTATTACTACTTAAATGGAAACCAGGGAGGATAACCAAAATGACTGTAGAACCTCTAAATATTATTTTCTGCCCTTAAAACCAACATTAAACATGRGCTTTAACTTACAGAAACTGATGAACTGGGTTCATTGGTGCAGTATCCAGATGAAGGACCAGATGCCACAGACCACCTCCGCCCATCTGCCCTGCTGAAAAAAAAAACAAAAACAAAATATATACGTATATAAAATATTCTGTTTAGTGCTTGCTTTTGTGAAAAATCTACATCCTGTCGAGGCACTCCACGTTTTAAAACCTGATCATTTTGTATCTTCCCATGCAAATTTGTCTTTCAGCAGTTGGTGCTTCAGCCTGTCAGCATTTTCTTATCAGCCAGTGATGGACATGCACAGATAGACATTGGCTGGTGCTTGAGTTCCTGCCTTTTTTCCTTTTTCAAGTGCCTATGTCTGACGTTTTCTTTTCAGCGTAGGCCTTCCTGTAGCCCATAGTTTTGCCTGTTTAAAAGTGTACAATTAGTACCAGTGCCCTAAAAAATGCAATATTTTGTTCATTGTTGTTTATTCTTCACCACACACGCCCTGCACTCTCATGCGGTGTTGCTTTACTGAACACGCTGCTGGTTCAGACAAAGTAGCCTCTCCTACACAACAGAGAACCTGGTGACATCTAACCAGCAGATAATTTATCTCCRAAACCTCAGATGTTTTAAACTTCACTTGCATCAACTTCATCTCGTCTGTGAAGACAAACAACTTTTTTATTATCATAAACAGCAGAAAACTGATTGAGCTTATATACCAATTTCAGCATGTGAAGAAAAGAAAGACAGAGAAAAACATCCTACAGCAGATTCTGCTGTCCAGGTTAAACCAGCAGCAGCTAAAGAGGAGGAGAGGAGACAGACGGTGAAGAAAGGTCAACACCAGAGTCATGTTGAGGCAAGGACAAACTGTCCATGCTTACATTTGGTTTTAGTTATTTTTTAATAATATTATTATTAAACTATTTTTTTCTGTAAAAAAGTACCTTTATGGTAGGGCATGTGTCAAACTCAATTTTGAACTGTCAATTTTCTGTGATTGGCTTGCGACCTGTCCAGTGTGTACCCCGCCCCTTGCACAGGGACGGACTGACGGACAGACGGACTGCAGACTAACSAGCAGATCTAATCTGAGGCAGGTGTCCATTTAGGGAAAGGAAACTGACTGGGTGTGTCCTTATTTTATACCTCCAATTTGAGTGATTCCATATTTTTTCCTCAGAATTGTGGCCAATAAAAGTAACATTCACTGACTTCCACAATGTTTTCTCTTCATTTCTTTGAGTGTTCCTGAAAGCCAACAAGTTGCACTTTGGAATGGCCTTATTATTGTTTCATGTTTTTGATCTGAGTTTGTTTTACAGAATGAAATGTCTGAATGAGTGCTCATCAGAGACTGCTGATTCCAGACTTTTTGCCAGGGGTTGTATGTAAGGGGTGATAGATTTTTATACCTTTTTGAGATTGGTTTTTGTTTGCCAGTATTTYCTTTGATATTTCAGAAAAGCTGCTTGTTGTAGTTGATTGTTAAAAAAAACTGTTTTAATACAGCAGATAATGTATCTGCATTAAAATTATGGTTCCACTTGTGTCCATGGTGTGAAAAGGCCTCTCCAAAGCAAGCTCCCAGGCTGAATTTCAAACCCACCCCYCCSCTGACTATGCTGCAACATGTTCAAAAAAAGTAAGTTTTTCAAGCTTGTTAGACCAGTAAACTATAGAAAACAAATAAAAAATACAGCTGCTGGACAAGTAGTTAAACTGTTAATGATTTTCTTTTGATTATTTAGTCAACTCACTTTTTTTCTGAAGAAAACATTTATATAATTTTGACTTGTGTAATAAACTGCATTTCTGCTTTCCTGAATTTCAAGTTGATGTTGCTTGAAAAGAGCTTATATTATAGCGATGTGGCTATACTTGAGTGCAAGTTAATAAAATATTTGATTTACCTGCGGGCAAACTGGAAGTTGGATGAGGAGCTGGCAGAGAAATTCCTGGAGCTTTCTGAAGGACTGCTGCCAGCTGAGGGAGGAAAAAAGCAAAAGCTGTTTGAAAATGTCCCAGATGGCATGTGTCCATGCATAAACCTGCTGATTAATACACAACGAAGGTGCACAGSACAGGTAATTGTTTACCATAATCAAAGTGATATGGTCAAATGTAACGTGCAGTTATTTTGCTCAAAACTTCACAGTGAAACAAAACTTTTCAAACACAGTAAATATGTCTGCTTTATTTGATTTAGTGCTGTCCTAATTTGTGTTTGTATTAAACRGGCTAATGTCAGTGCCAGTTTTTCAATGTTTAATTTAGAATATTCTGGATCTACATACTGTTTTTCATTCCACATACTGAAATAAGACTAACAGAGAAGTTAAGTCAAAATCTGGCTGTCCGCAAAATATCTCAATAAAAATGAAATTTAATAAGTAGGGTACATTGTTCTGTAGACAAAGTTTACTTTATAAAAGTGTTGTCAGTCAGCAGGTTGACAGTTTCAGGAGCTGCTTGAGTAAAACTTCCTCCTCATTCTGCTTACAGGTCAAACATTTTTATTTAAATAAGAGTACTCTGTGTACATGACCTTTTTAAAGTTACAGTTTAGTGTTCTTAGGACTGAAGACTTTCTGAGGAAAGACG